GAGTGGGCACTTGCCCCGGGTGCTGTGCTGAGGGGGGGCGCTGCTAAGTTGGCTACTCATCCCGCTATTTACTGACTGCAGTGTCACTCCTGTTGGATAGAGCCAATAGCTGCTGCTGTAGGGAGGATTCAGCTTTCTCATCTCTCCAGCCTGCGTAGAGCGAAAAAGAGCTGGCACTGAGACCGAGAATTGTCCTCAATCTCAGTGCTGCACTGATGAGGAAGGAGGGCAGACTGTGACTTTTCCCCTGTCATAAGACATGTCACATGACTGAAGAGAGGAAGGAGATGCTGTGAATGCCGATCTGCCAGTTCCAATGAGTACTTATCTGCCTGCAAATTGGGGAAAATGGGGAAAACAGCTTGAAAGCATGGGGACACCTTATGTTAAGATGGACTCTGTTGGGGACATCTGATGTAAAGGGGGGCACCATTGGAAACACCTGATGTAAAGGGGGACTCTATTGGGGACACCTAATGTCAAGGGGGACTCTACTGGGGTCACCTGATGTAAAATGAGACTCTATTGAGGACACCTGATGTAAAAGGGGGCACTACTGGGGACACCTAATGTAAAGGGGGACTCCATTGGGGACACCTGAATAAAGTGGCACTCTATTGGGGACACGTAATATTAAATGAGACTCTATTGGGGACACCTGTTGTAAAAGGGGACTCTATTACAGACACCTGATGTAAAGGGGGACACTACTGGGGACACCTGATATAAAGGGGGACTCTTTTGGGACACCTGATGATGTAAAGAGGGACTATGTTGGGGATACCTGATGTAAAGGGGGACTCTACTGGGGACACCTGATGTAAAGAGGGCCTCTGTTGGGGACTTCATCTGATGGGGGGGGGGGCACAATTCACCATCTTCACCCTGGGCGCTGGATAACATTGTACCGGCAAGGCCCCTTCTGAAGAAATTGTGAAAATCATGAAGACAGAAATCATCTTGATCTCAAATTGGTGGGCAATTTTGTTGATGGTTATTCTGAAGTCTTCTTCCACATCTATTTAGACTGCCCCTACATTTTGGTCATCACTAGCAAGTCTGAGGCACACTTCATGCTCATCATCCTTGAAATGCAAATGGAAAGTTCAAATTTTACTAAAATACCTTTTTACAGTTGTAGAACTTGGAGCTTTGTCCCCCAGCACAGCTGACTTGACATAACATATTCAGCAGTAGTTTTTCCACATTGGGTGGAAAAAAAGAATCACAATCTGAAATTACCCATCAACAAAGCTTGTGTTTCTCTTCATGACTGCCTGTATGGATGACATTTTTGATGGAGAATCAGGGCGTTTAAGCTCCACTTCCTGTTGGTGGAGATTAAGCATGTTCTTGTCCATTTCAGCAATGTAAATCCCAGATGTAGGACTGTCAGCAGGCCTAGTCATTGCCATAGGGAGGTGGGGTTGGACATGGTTATGTTTATGCAAATGGTTACATGGAGAAAGTTGGTATTTCCATTGTTTTGGTGGTGCTAGATAATGCCAAACTACACTAACATTCAAATTTCTGTTGTCAGCTAGTTCTTGCTAATGTTAGTATTTCACTTTTCATCTGTTCAGGGTTCACTTTAAATGAAGTCGCACATACTTAACGCATATTATAATTTTCCATGTATCATGACTCTCTTCTTCTTTCAGCAAAGATTCAAAATATCAGGACAATTAACTGAAAACAATGGAAAATAGGATTTCTGAGGAATATAATATCTTTGGTTCTGTTGCATCACATTAGCCCAAAATTCATTACACACTGGGACAAAAAATGTCACATTAGTACTTACAACTGTAAAATTAAGATTAAAAAAAGAAAAGGGAGAAAAATAAAGTAATACACTGAACGCTGCTGTGTGATGGTGACAAAAAAATTGAAGCCCGGGCTCTTTTCTCCAGAGAGCGGAGATATGTGATGTGTTTTAATTATCTAAAGTAATAATGAAGCTGATTTAGCACAGTATATTAAACCCATCTGGCATGTAGACTGCTAGAATTCATCCGTGACTAGATGTTCAAAGTTATATTTTATCGCTTGTAATTTTCTTCTCCAACTTCTTGAAGAAGTTTGACCTCAAACCTGATGCAAATAAGGAAAGATATGAAGAACTTCTATTGTTTAGTGGCAGCCATTCGAGACGCTGCAAATGACAGCCGATTGACAATAAAACAAATGCTACAAGATGCTTTCCGAGCTTCTAAAATAATTAGACTTTTTAAAAGTGAATTTAACTGATATAAATCAAATTGTTCTACTTATGGTACTATTACGTAGTTTTTTTCCCTATTACAGTACAATATACAAAGGAACTTACAGTATAGGAATTATCAATTATTTAATGCAAATCTTTACATTTAAAATCATTTTTTATAAAGCAGCAATTATAATAGGAAACAGGTGTCCTCAACTGCAGCACATAATCTAACCTGTAAAGGGAGCCCTTAGGGTTTTTCACATTGGTGGTAATGCTCACGGCCCTCTGAAAACCATTCAGTGGTTAATCACTTTTCAGAGAACAGTATAGCAGTAGCTGACAGGCATTAGAATGCACCTTTTTTTTATTTATGAATGGACCATGCTGCAACTGCAAGCCAAGCATTTCTCTCTCGGTTGCGGAGTAGCCCCATTTAACTCAATAGGCGTGTTTGATAGGCGGTGTCAGGAATCCCAGAATGCACCGTGGCGCACGGGGCTGCACATGCGCAGAGTACACCGGCACACGAACATGCAGGTTTTAGGACCTGGGTGTCCGCGGCGGCAATGGCGGCCGTGCATGCGCACTTGCGCACACGGGCGCGTGCCTGGCACCAATGACAGCATGGGGCGCGCTATTTAAACAAGCTCCTGTAGGGCTCATGTTGCCGTATGGTCTTTTCCTGTTATCCTGTGTTCCTTAGAGATTGCCTTGTTGCTGACCCTGCCTGTCCGTTGACTGTCTCCTGCTCTGATCCCTGGCTTGTCTGACCATTCTCCTGTCTTATCCTGTACGTTTGACCTCCTGTTGCTGAACCTGGTCTGTGACCCGTTTATCCTTCTGCCTGCCACTTGTACCCTTCTTCCTCCACTGTTACCGACCTGGCCTGTCTGACTTCGCTCACTCCACCTGTTCACATCAGGCTCTCACCTGCTACGTACCACTGACAAGTGCCTCTACCACAGCTGGTTGCAACCAGCAGCCGCGACCTGGTTTCGGCCTGCTCCAAGTCCATCCCCACCATCAAGGGCTCTGGTGAACAAGCAGGTCGGAGCTTAGATTCCGCGCCCTGGGGAATCCCGGTCTGTGGAGCGCTAGAGGCCACCGTCGGTCAGTCCCTAACAGGCGGTACCACCTGTCAAACTCTGCAGCTTAAGTTAAGAATATGTGTACAGCTTTTCCTGGCTCTACTGTTAGGTTTTGGGTAGGAAGTCAGGGTGGGGCGCTGGTTAAACCATGGCCTGTTTCTTTATAACAACCGGCTACTTTTGAATAGATGGGGGTACCTGCTGAATGGCTGAATTTCAATTAATATATACCTAGATTAAATCTACAAATAGTAAAACCGATCTTTGTACAGTTTCCCTGCAAAAAAAAAATATCATATATATATACTGTATAAACATATTTACCTTTAATCACTTGAAACTCCTCCCTTTAAAATTTAATATGTGCCTGCTGTACCATGGATTTGTATAAAAAAGTATTCTGTTCTTTATGTATTGCTTCCTTTGTGTGAGATCCCTGCTGTTCCTGCCAGTCCTTCTGCATTCCTATTGAAAACTGCCTGCAGTAAGTATGAGACAGGGGTGGACTGACCATTCGAGCAATCGGGCACTGCCCGAGGGCCTGGGGTCAGTAGGGGGCCCCATGAAATGCCCCTGGTACCTTTTATAAGCTTTGTGTGTGCTTTGATTGTGATCAAGGAGACAGGGGCCCCATGATCCCCTATTGCCCGGGGGTCCCATGAGTTGTCAGTCCACCCCTAGTATGAGAGCAGAAAGTAGTCAGTCCTCTAGCCGTGCTGGGAACTCAGCCTGCTCTCCTCCAATGATCAAACATGTGCTGTTTACCCCTTATGGACCAGAGCAATTTTTACATTTCTGCTATAAACCTGTTTATTTGCCAATACCTTTGTCATTACCTAAAGTGGTTGTAAAGGCTGGAGGTTATTTACCTTTATGCATTCTAAGCATGAAGGTGAAACACCTTCAGTGTGCAGCAGCCCCCAGCCCCTCCTAATACTTACCTAAGTCCCCTCTGGATCCAGCGATGGGCACATGAGTAGTGTTTCTTCTGGGACTCTCCTTATAGACTGATAAAGCAGTGGGAACCATTGGCTCCTGCTACTGTCAATCACGGCCAGTGAGCCAATAAGCAGAGAGCAGGGACAGGGGCGAGCCGTGCTCTGTGTGTGAACAGACATGCAGAACAGAGGCTCAGGAGTGAGGCTGCTTGGGTGCCCATAGCAATATGCTTGCTCTGGGGGCACTTGACAGGAGGGAAGGGCCAAGAGTGCTGGTGGGAAGAGGAGGATAAAATGCCTTTAACTGCTTCCCCTCCAGACCCACGTATGTGAGTATATTTCTATTTCATTTAATAAATACGTGGGTCTCCACGGTAATGCACGATGAGAGTGCGCCCTTGTCTGTTTTTGTTCGCCAGTATTCAGATTTCCCAGTCTTTGAAGGGCAGCACCTCTTCGTTTGGCATTTTCAATTCCCTGGTCTGCATGAAGATTTGAGCGCTGGTTTCATTGGTTTGTCTATTGGATTGCTTCCCCTCCACCCTATAGCAGATATACTGCTACAGTGCAGCAGGGGTGGTAAAAATCACGTGAATATATAAGTGATTTTGCATTTACAAGTATGGGGTGCATGCGAGGCGTGCACGACCTACCCGCTACACCATTCGGGGCCACGGTTGTCAATCATTGGGTCCTGGCTTGCGATTACTCACTGGCTCCCGGTGATTGCCGAGCATCTCCGATGGGGGGGGGGGGGGAGAACTGTTTGTACACAAAACAGTTCTCTCCCCTGTTAGCTCCTGCGCACTGCTTTGCATGGTTGTGCATAACAGAGCCATACAAAGCAGTGTAACACACAGTGAAACACACACAGCACACAGTTAACCCTTTGATCATCCCAGATGTTAACCCCTTCCTGCTCAGTGCCATCAGTACAGTATCAGTGCTTTTTATTAGTCACTGGGGATGTCAGTGACATCAAGTCAGTTCCCCCCAGTTCCAGAATGCTGCCGCAGTCCCACATTACTAGTAAAATTAAAATAAAATAAAAAAATTCCAGTATATATACCGCAATTTGTAAATGCTATTACTTTCATGTAAACTAAATAATTTACATGTATTGGGATTTTTTTCTAGCAAAGACTTTTAGCAGAATACATTTTGGCCTAAATTTATAACACGATTAGATTTTTTATTTTTTTTTTACTGGACATTTTAATAGCAAAAAGTCAAAGATATAGTTTTTTTCTCAAAATTGTTGGGCATTTTTTTTTATAGCGCAAAAAATTAAAAAAACAACACAGGCAATCAAATGCTGCCAAAAGAAAGCTCAATCCATGGGAAAAAAAGAACGTACATTTCATTTGGGTGCAGCGTTGCATGACCACGCAATTGTCAGTTAAGGTAACGCAGCGCCATATTGCAGAAAATGGCCTGGTCAGGAGGGGGGGGGGGGGTAAATCCTCAGGAGGGCAAGTGGGTAATATCACTTTAAGATAACGTAATACATGTATTGCTTTTAAGAACAACCAATGCTTTTTTCGTGATTATTGTCTTCCAAAAAAAATTTTTTTCCACAATTCTTAAACAGTTAAAGGTAACAAAACTAAACAAAATGCACCTTTTTTGACCAGTGTTGGCTTAAAAATAAAGTGTTACTGCAGATAAAAAGTGTGCATTCTATTCTGTAATTTGTCCTGTTTAAAATTACACTAAAACAATGACTAACTTTTTAGTTTGTCCATTTTTTTATGGGAAATGTGTAAAAATATGTTAAATGTGTAAAATATTAAAGAACAAAATAAACAAAAAAAGCACAAAAATGTAAATATCAATAAAGTAAAGAAGAAATGAAAAGGAAAAAAAACAACAGGAATACCATTATTGTATGGATAAAGAGAATAAAGGGTTGATTAGGGCTGATTATCATGACTGACAACTCATGGGGCCCCCAGGCAATAGGGGATCATGGGGCCCCTGTGTCCCTGCCCAAACTCAAAAAAGCCTATGAAAAAGGTACCAGGGGCATCTCACAGGGCCCCCTACTGACCCCGGGCCATCGGGCAGTGCCCTAGTTTCCAAATGGTCAGTCCGCCCCTGCTAATTAGCGTAAACTAAAGGTTAATAAGGGGTTAAACAGAGAAATATTTTATTGAAAAAAAAAAACACTTTTTTTAAATACTCAGGTTGTTTACTGACATCATCTGCAGCCTGAAGTTTATCCCCTTGATCTGCAGATGAATGAACAGAATGATACAAAAGTAACACTATGCAACATTGCATCTTTTCTGTAGCATGTGAGCAATTGTTATTTATAAATACTATCAGACTGCATTTTTTGACAGCTGAAAACTGCTGACGGTCACTTTGTACACTTTAATCTGGCTTTGATTAATCAAAGCCGAATTGCTGTGTACTGGGAGGGGGAGCAGGGCAGAAGGAAAGGACTGTACTCAGGGGTGGACTGACAACTCATGGGGCCCCTGAGCAATAGGGGATAATGGGGCCCCTATGTCCTTGCCCAAACTAAAACAAGCCTATGAAAAGGTACCAGGGACATCTTATGGGGCCCCCTACTGACCCCAGGCCCTCGGGCAGTGCCGAGTTTCCAAATGGTCAGTCCGCCCCTGACTGTACTACACATATCCGGTGTACAATGATCTTTTTTTTGGGGTGTGTGTAACACACCCAAAGTCTGGAACTAGTTGGGAGGGGCAGTAAAAATGTGACTCAACCGCCTATTATTATCTCTCCCAAACTGTAGGTGTAAACTAAGCCTTACATGGGTTTTTATGGACACTGCAAGAAGAAATTTTAACACTAATTACATAGACATGGTCCATTGTTGTACAAATAACAAGGCAGAGGATGCTCCTGATAATGTAATACTTTAATTCAATCAAACATTAAAAGATAAATTGCAATCACAAAAAGAAACTGTTAAACCCACTCATCTGTGGGCAAGAATTGTTCCCCATTATTCAGTCCAGAAGGATCCTCTAGCCGTAGGCTGCATCAGGGGTTGGAGAGCAACCAGAGATGCTAGAAGTAGCACAATGAGTCATGGCGATGCTAAACTATCTATTGTGGGCTACAGGAAGAAGGGTCAGCCACACACCAGAGGATAGATGAATAAAGTGTGTATTTATTGATCCATAGGACACACAAAACACCAGGACATGAATACAGGACTTGTTAACGCGTTTGACACGATCTCATGCCTAATCATAACCATGGGCTGGCATCAAAGCCAAAAAATATCGGGGTCCACGTTTGATACCATCAGGAAAGCCACCCTGAGAAATGCCATGCAGCCATTATTGAAATGCATGCAAATGGGTGGGAATCAGCAGCACCAGGAGTCAACAAATATGAAAAAAAAAAAAGAGCGAATTCTATTTAAAAAATGGAAATTAACCACATGCCGCCCAGCCACTGTATAAATACGGCGGCAGGGCGGCACGGCTGGGCAAAACCGCCGCCCTACCTGTCCCGCCAATCACAGCCGCGGATGTCAGTCGCCGGGTCACAGCCGGTCCTTACCGTCTATTTCCCGGCGATCGGCGGCAATCCCTGACAGAGAGCACAGCTGCAGTAGCTGTGCTTTCTGTCAGTTCCCTGACAGCTCCAGTGCCATTAGTACATTTTTAACCCCTTCCTCCCCAGTGCCATTAGTACAGTGTCAGTGTTTTTTTTTTGCACTGATCGCTGTATTGGTGTCACTGGGGATGTCAGTGACCCCAAGTCAGTACCCCCCAATGTCATAATGTCCGCCGCAGTCCCGCAGTCCCGCCATAAGTCGCTGATCGCCGCCATAAGTCCCTGATTGCCGCCATAAGTCGCTGATCGCCGCCATTATTAGTATGAAAAAAAAAACCTAAAAATCCCAGTATCTTTCCTGCCATTTGTAAACGCTATAACTTTCACGTAAACCAATTAATTTACACGTATTGGGTTTTTTTTTTAGCAAAGACATGTCGCAGAATGCATTGTGGCAGAAATTTATGACTAAATTTGATTTTTACATTTTTTTTTACTGGACATGTTTTATAGCAAAAAGTCCAAAATATTGTTTTTTTCCTCAAAATTGTCAGCCTTTTTTTTTATAGCGCAAAAAATAAAAACCGCACAGGCGATCAAATACCACCAAAAGAAAGCTCAATTGTGGGAAATAAAAGGATGTAAATTTCATTTATGTACCATATTGCATGACCGCGCAATTGTCCGTTAAACTAGCGCAACGCTCTATAGCAAAAAAATGGCGTAAATTGCAGTATCTATACCATAGTTTGTAGACGCTATAACTTTCACACAAAGCAATCAATATACACTTATTGGGATTTTTTTACCAAAAACATGTAGCAGAATACATTTTGGCCTAAATTTATAACCAACTTTGAGTTTACTATATATTTTTTACAGCTGAAAGTAAAAAATATTGTTTTTTCTTCAAAATTTTTTGGCCTTTTTTTGTTTATAGCGTGAAAAAAATAAAAAGCGCACAGGTGATCAAATACCACCGAAAGAAAGCTCTATTTCTGTGAAAAAAGGACGTAAATTTTGTTTGGGTGCAGCATTGCATGACCGCGCAATTATCAGCTGAATTAGTGCAGCGCCGAGTAGCAAAAAGAGGCCTGGTCATTAAGGGGGGTAAATCCTCTGGAGGTCAAGTGGTTAATTATAGGACCCATATTTATAGCAAAATAAACACTTTTCAGTTATAATTTACAACTATATGTAAAAGACTATAGTTCCCTTTTAAAATACAAATTTTGCTTACAATTTATATTTACTTGCAGCTCTGCTTGCATCATGTCTATATGATGGATTTCATATAGAAATTATCTGTGATGTACCTTTTGCATCCTGAAATGACTTTAGATGTCTTTTCAATGCGATCCTACTTCTGCTGTCATATAGCCGTAATGAGGCCTATGACTGGCAAATCCTTTGCATTTGTCACAATTTGCCAAAGCAAATAACCCAATGATAAATACATGAAGATTTATTTGCACCCTGACGAATCTACACTTGTAATTTCCCCTCTAAAAAGACCCTGTTTTTGATGCTTGGGAAAAGGTTATCAACAAATCTCATTCGCCTTAAAAGACAATATAGCTGCAATCAAGCTATTATTCTGAGAAAAAAAATCTCTGCGCTATAATACTTAACCCTTTCCCCAGCCCTCAGGTTAAATGTGAGAATATTGTGTGCATTGAATGGCGAGGCTCTCCGAGCCATCAGGAATCATCTTCTGCAAGAGAAAAGGGTATTATTACAGTTATTTCACAAGGACTATTGAATATTTGAAGAGTGAATTAGGAGCTTGTTTAACACAAACATCCAGCCCCTCAATTACACTTAAAGCATTTTCCCTGAGCGCAAAGATATATCTAAAATAAATATGCTGGGAAAGATTAGAAACTTGTTAAGAAGCACAAACAGCTTACGGTGAGATGAAATCAGGCTGCTGCTAGCTGTGACTTTTCTTTCTAGAATGCCACTCAGTTCTTTAAATTTGTTTTGTTTTGTGATGACTTAGAACAATATTTTCTGAGAACTTTTCTCACCATTTTGCATGCTGTTTTAAACATTCCCCCCTCTAATTGTAGCACAAGTAACATGACAATAACATAGGTGGTAACAATCTGCCTTAAGCCACCACCGTGTATTGGTCATTAATCAGCACTGCAGCTTATGTTTTTGCTGCACACACCTACCCTTGTCAAGAAAAACTAAGGCCCCATGTACACGGGACGATTCTGAACAATGGAAACTGACTGCTGGAAAACATAAGTTAAAAAATATAAAGGCGGTAATTGAGTGCTGGGAACAATAATGTAATATAAAGCTGCTAGCATAAAAGGCAACCTCTAAAACCCAATACAAGAAATATAAAATAAGTATGCAGCGCTAATGTAAAAAATAGAATCAGATAGATGAAAAATATATAGAATCAGATAGATCAGAAATTGCACAATATCATATTCCAGCGACTTAGTCCATATATAGTAGTACAGCAAAGTGATTATGTGCAAATGTTCATAAATCCACAATAGAGGGATAACCGTGACTCTTGTGCTCTTGATAGTATACAAACATTGCACTAACCAGATAGCGCATTATCTGATTCTATTTTTTACATTAGCGCTGCATACTTATTGTAAGTTAAAAATGTCTGTTTAGCCGCATTTTCATAACGCGTTTTTGCGTGTTTTTGCACGTTTGCGTTTAGAAGCGTTTTTTAAAGATAAGCACAGGAGAACCTCCCAAATGCCCAGAATGCACTAAAAAGTGGTAAATTATTAACTATTTCAGACTGTTTCAGAGAAATACACAGAGTAGAAGCAGAGACAGCAGTATGTGTTGAGATAATTAGGTGTGAGTTGCTCATTTTGTTTACAAGGATGGGAAGGTGTCTGGTGGAGTGAGTCATTAAGGTCACCTGGCAGGGGGTCTTCATGAGGAATTTGAGGTGTGAATGGTCATTAACATATCTTTTGTTTCCAAGGGTGGGAGAGGTCTGAAGTGTGAATTGGTCATTGCAATGTGTCACAGGCTTGGTAGCAACATCCTGTGTTCAGTGTTTTGTTCATCTGAGCACCTTGAAAACTCTTTGCATACATTTTTCATGATGAAAAAAGGCTCTGTGCAGCATTGGGAACTGGAAGAGTTAAAAAACAATTTCAAACGCAAACGCTTATAAATGCGATTTGCCGCGTTAGCCGTGTTTACAAGCTTTTTGAATTTGAAACGCTGATAAAATCAGCGTCTAAATGCAAGTTTGTTGCGTTCAAAAAAACTACTGTAGACTCAACTGCCTGTAAACGACTGTAAACAAAGATGTGTACATGGACACATAGGAAAACATTAGGGTGAGTTCAGGGGCTGCTGAAAAAAATGCTGGCCAGCTCCTAAACGTGCGTTTGTCAGCTGCAGTGTACATGAGCCCTAAATAAGAAGACTGCTGCACAATCAGCCTGGGCCTGATCAACAGATTGAACTTTCTACCTATGACCACACTTACCCTAGTGAAGAAAAACTAAAAAGACTACTGCACATTCAGCCTGGGCCTGATCAACAGATTGGTCTTTCTACCCATGACCACACTTACCCTAGTGAAGAAAAATTAAGAAGACTGCTGCACATTCAGCCTGGCCTGATCAACAGATTGGACTTTCTACCTATGACCACACCTACCCTAGTCAAGAAAAACTAAAAGGACTACTGCACATTCAGCCTGGGCCTGATCAACAGATTGGTCTTTCTACCCATGATCACAACTACCCTAGTCAAGAAAAATTAAGAAGACTGCTTCACATTCAGCCTGGGCCTGATCAACAGATTGATCTTTCTACCTATGACCACACCTACCCTAGTCAAGAAAAACTAAAAGGACTACTGTACATTCAGCGTGGGCCTGATCAACAGATCGGTCTTTCTACCTATGACCACACCTACCTTAGTCAAGAAAAACTAAGAAGACTGCTGCACATTCAGCCTGGCCTGATCAACAGATTGATCTTTCTACCTATGACCACACCTACTCTAGTCAAGAAAAACTGGCAAGACTGCTGCACATTCAGCCTGGGCTTGATCAACAGATTGGTCTTTCTACCTATGACCTGGATTCAGATCAATCTGGCATTATGCACCACATAGCCTTTGAACTATGACAAGCAGGTTTAGAAAAACTAAAAAAGGTGCTTTTCAAAAAAAACTAGCCCTCTTAAATAATAAAATTACAAATAAAGGCTAAGGCACAGAACAGCTATATAGCAGTGAATTCAAAGCGGCTGAAAGGAAAGCATAAGGAAATATGAAAAACTGTACAGATAAAGATTGGGGTCAGTTACAGAACAGTACTTGGCTGTATACCTCAGACATGAAATATGAACAAAGCATATCGCTCTACAGTATGTACTTGTCTCTATCTAGGGCACTAGGTGTCATTTCTCTCTGCTGCCCCACTCCCCTGCTATCAGCATGAATCACTTATGACAAGTTTTCCTGACACCAATAAAAAGGTGATGGAGAGGAAGCAGTGATTGACAGCCTCAGCTCTGTTCCTGTGTGCCTTGTTACAGAGGAGGGGGGGTGTCCTTTATCTCCAATCTGCTCTCACAGCTCATCTCACTGAGCTCTGCAGAGTTTGACTTCAGGTCTCCACCCCCTGATTTCTGAAATCTCAGACAAGCTGTATAAATTCTGGACTTTGAACAGTTGTAGAGGAAATAACAAGGCAGATAAACAGGTACAATCTATGCAGGAGGATTTCATTCACCTTTATGTATCACCTGAGGTTAGCGACATCATTGGGTATATGTAAGCATTTACAAGTGATTTAATTCTGATTGCTAGTTTTAGGGAAAATCAGCCTTTGCAGAGTTTTTGTTTTTATTGCTGTGGGCTTTTTACTATTTTATTTTGTGGTTGATCTGAAGTTTATGGTCACTTTAAGCTGCTATCTTGTCTACAGCATGTTTTTTGTTTTTTATTTTGGTGCTGCTAGTCTACCCTTTTAGAAAGGGTGGAATTTTGGGGCATCAATTAAAAGGTGTAAGAACAGTGTGCATCTAAACCACCTCATTATATGACTCACATTCAATATACCCACATCCATATGTATAGAAAAAGTTAGCTATACACCAGATATACATGAAATCCCTAATTAAACTGTCCCACTGCTGGCCAATTTTTCACTGCTTTATACTCTGCACTATGTAATAAATCCTCAGCCTGTGCTTTTTGTCTTTAGTAAATTTGGGCCTAGCCTCGCTCAAAATTGTCCTGCTGCTGAACAACATATACTTGTATGTAGTAGAACACCTTCCTGTACTCTAGTACATTTTGGCCATTTCTCTTACACTAAAAATACCCAGTTTTATACTGCTATATAATTAACAGACTCTTAATACCTAATGAGAGCTTGATAGAAATTGGCCAGCAGCAGAACAGTTTTGCAATTTTTATCTGACAATCAAAGGAGGCATTTGATGAAAAAGCATGTGTCACTGCTAAAGCTACCTGAAGAAAAAGTATTTTTTTTTTTTTTTTTTTTTAAACAAGCTGATTGGGGTGCTGCCGTTGCATTGTAAAAGAAAAAAGATCAATTGCACAGCTAAATGTGTGCTGTCAGTGTACACAGTCATTGCTGAAAAATTTACTGTTCCATAACAGCATGTACAGCTTGAAGACTTGCCCAAGCATGTCACTTAAAGGAATTTTGTATTCTCAATGTTGCCCTCAAAGCCGTGAAGAAAATACCTCTCCTTCCTGTGAAGTTTTTTGTTTAACACCCCGGTCACACTGGGTGCGACTTGGCATGCAATTTGCATGGCATGCGACTTGCAAATCATATGCCAAGTCACAACCTATTGTCCCCAATTACAACGGCCAAATCAGTGTGGTTCCGACTTGGTTGGAGCCGCACCGATTTCTAAAGTAGTACATGTACTACTTTTTGTGTGATTTGCATAGACATCTGTGTCAGATGTCTTGCAAATTGCACCTGAAATTGGCATGTCCCCTGACTTTGAAATCATGCGACTTCACTGTATATCGCACGATTTCAAAGTCGGGCTCGATGTGACCAGGGTGTTATTTTGGTAAATATGTAAATGTTCCCCATGACAGTACCCACATTCCCATGTCCTTTTGACAGTAGTATGTCTGTTAGCCCTACAAAATGGGCAGAATTTAAGGACCCCCACCCCCTTAAACTTGAATGGAATTCATCTCTAACTTCAAATTTGTGGAATTTCAAACAAGAGTCACCAAACCTAGGCGGATTCACCCATCACTACCTACAAATTGTTGGACTGCATACACCTTGGCTGTGATTATTAATTTTTAGTTCTTTACTGTCTTGTGTAGCATTTTCTCTGTCTCCTACTCCTATAACACATCTACAGTCTCTGACATCCCTTCTGGTGTGTCAAGTCTGTACCAGTTCTTGTGCAGCATTACACACTGAATATTGTGTGTGTGTAATCTGTACACACAACTGAGTGCGCAGCTCAAAGTTCTAGATTTGCTGATCCCGGTGATCTACTATGTAGATGGGAGCTGGCTTCTAGAAGTTCATCCCTGGAAACGTAACAACTGTGGTGTGTATAGGCACCACACTGTCAAATAGCCTGGTGTGTGATAATAGTGGGAAGTGGCCTCAGCCTTGGCTCCTCCTACTCCATGTCCCTGACACATATAACCTTGCCCCCGAGGTTTAGTCATTGAAGTGACATCTATGATTAAGCCCTGGGGATAAAGCAAAATGCATTAGAAGGCATGGCTTAGGAGAAGCGGAGGCTGAGGCCGCCTCACACTATTATAACACACTAGGCTATCCAGAAGGTGCGACACCTATACACACCACAGTATTCAGAATGTGACCCTAGATTGTTGCTTGGGGATCACCACTTAGACTGTTAGTGTCCTGTAGGATGGATGTCGTAGAAACTGTCAGAGTGCAGGCTGGAGTTGGGTTTGTCCAGAGTGAGAGCATGCAAGCAAGATAAGATGAGGTTTCCTGACTGCCACACACCCAGGGGCGGACTGACCATTTGGAAACTCGGCACTGCCCGAGGGCTGGGGTCAGTAGGGGGCCCCATGAGATGCCCCTGGTACCTTTTTCATAGGCTTTTTTTGAGTTTGGGCAAGGACACAGGGCCCCATGATACCCTATTGCCCGGGGGCCCCATGAGTTGTCAGTCCGCCCCTGCACACACCTTACCCAGCCATGTAGTAAACAAGCAAAAGCAGCCTCAGCTCAGTCTAAGGCCACATCCCCAGTGCATTTCCACTGCCTCAGCTCAGTCCATCAAGGCCACACCTCCAATGTATTTCTCCCTGCTCCCGGGCCTAATCATGTCGGTCATGGTTGGGCAAAATGTGTTGGGGGCAGGGCCAGATCTGATTTGGGGATGCAGTAAAAAAAAAGTCAAAGGGCTTAATGTCAATGCTGGGTGAGTCACTGACAGTCTGTCATACAGTGTCACAACTTGGGAAACACTAGAATGTACTAGGCTGTTTTAGATCAGGGTGATTAAAAAAAAACTGTGCCCCCTTATATCAGATGGCCCTATCAGAGTACCCCTTTACATTAGGAGTCCTAATTAGAGTCCCCCTTTATATCAGGAGTCCTCATCAGAGTCCCCCTTTATATCATGAGTCCTCATCAGAATTCCCCTATATATCAGGAGTCCTCATCAGGGTAAACCAATTCCATAGTAGTCCAGGACATTCTTTAAATGTATATCAACCTGGCTAAAATAGCCTTCTCCAGCCCCCTCATTTTTCTGTTGGTCACCAAATGAATTTTGTAGCTTCTCGATAATATAAAGATGTTAGGCTGGAGGAGGTGGGCAAGTGAATAACCATGTCACTTCTCATCACTATTAACATTCCTAAGACAACCTGGAATTAATCTGAAAGTACCTTAATTGCCTTATCTAAGGATCTAGAGCACATAAGGTGGGGACACCAATTCACTTTCAGTTGGAATATTTATGGATATTTTTATTTTGGGGGGAAATTCAAGAAACAAGCCTTGATGATGAGGTATAAGAACCACAGTATGTTATAGAGCTGTATTGTTTGGCTGTCAAGTTAGTAAGGAGTTAAGCTAAGCTAATCACTTCAACATATTCTGACCATCAAACCTCATTTAAGACTTCATCGTTTTCCCAGAGGTTTGCAATTTCAGAAATTATTTTTGCAATCCGTTAGCTGGTTAAGTATTATTTTCTAAGTGAATTCGTTCATTAAAGGCATTTTCAGGCCTAATTGTTCTTTATTGGAAATGTCAGCTTTCACAGTTCATTAACGAGGGCATTAGTGGGAAATGCAAAACAAACTTTGTGTACGAAGATCAACAACAGTCATTAGCAACTGCTGTTCAGTAGGAGAAGGCACTGTACTGCAAGTTCTGCATGTACACCTGAGGTGGCTTTCACCAGAGAAGGTTATTGAATGATGTGCCACTTCCTTTTACAACCACCTTTAATTAAGGATCAACTGACATCTGTCTTTATATTTTATAGGACTGTATTTACTTTAGTTAGTAGAAGGTTTCATTGACCAGCTAGCCAATAATGTAGGATAAATTACATAAAGTAGCACTACTTACCAGTCCACTTTTATATAAAATGGATAGATTTAGCCTTTGACCTTTCACACATACATATCACCGTCAAGCTCCAATAATTCAGCTATATAAGGTTGGAATCTGTGTCTAAAACTTCATGGTCTCAAGCCCAGTAAAGGAACTGTGACCCCTCTACCGAAAGCAACATTAGAGAGTTCTTCATAAACAAAGACCTGGATGTCATGCACTGGGGCTAAAAACTCTTGACATACAGTATAAAAGTCTTGGCCTGGTAAAAAATAGTAGCCAACATCTGTGAAAATAATTGTTTAAACACTCTCTTTGTATTAATGTTTATATATGGGTATGAATGCTATACTGTAGTACAATGTGAATTGTGCTCTTTATTGAACCAGAGCCTACTGAGGCTGATTATCCTTTTAAGTGCATATTAGCTTAGAGGTTCTCCCATACACCAATGCTTCTGGAAAATAACAGTTTCCAGTCTGAACACACATTGTTGTACCTGTCATTCAACAATGCCATCATGTTAGCAGCTTACATGTTGTATTTAGCAAAGACTTTTGCTATTATTTTCAGATTCTCAAAAAACTACAGTAAGACAGTTCCTTTGAACTATGCCTACTCAAACCATAAGTGAATAATGGTGACAATTAGAGTTAAGCACATGTTTTGTGATCCCTTCAAGCGTTCCTATGAATGAATACATTTTCACAGTTAATTTAAAGTATATTCCAATGAATTCAATTGTATTCCAGAGTAACCTATAAAGGACAAGACATAAATTATTTTCACACAGCTATGTGACACTGTAAAAAAAGTTTCGGCAATGTTCTCCACTAGCTCTCCATTGCACCTGTTATTGAGTCCAGTTCAACAAATCCCTACTTTTTTACGATTATAGACACAGGTACATTTTTTTGATCCATGAACTCCAAAAGAGCAAATCTGAACAGTTAACTGTTCCATGTTAAAGTGGTTGTACAGGCTCAAGGTTTTTTGCCTTCATGTATTCAATGCATTAAGTTAAAAAACCCTCTGTATGCAGCAGCACCTTCTAATACTTACCTGAGCCCCATCGTGATCCAATGATGTGCACAAAAGCAACAGCGCTCCGGGGGGTATCTCCTTCCTCATTGACTGTGACAGCAACTGTCAATCACAGCCAGTGAGAATAAGGGGAAAGAGCAGGAGCGGGGCTAAGCCACGCTCTGTTTCTTAATAGACAGACAGAGGAGTGGCTTGTAAATGAGCCTGCTTGGGTGCCCTCCCAGCAAGCTGCTTGCTATGGGGGCACTCAGAAGGAGGGAGGGGCCAGGAGCACCAGCGGGGGACCCAAGAAGAGGAGGATCAGAGGATGTTAACATTTCAGAAGGTCACTTAGTTCCCCTTCAGACTAGCCATCCCTATCGCCGATGTTCCCAATCACTCAAGCATGTAGGTGTTCATATTACTCCATCCTATGACACATTATTTCAAGCTAATTTCACTCCTATGTTTCAAGAGACACGCAGACTACTGAGTAATGGCATACCCTTCCTATCTCAGAATTAATGTTTTGAAGATGTCTATGCTTCCAAAACTTTATCTCTTTGAAACTTTGCCATTTCCAGTTCCTATAGCCCATCTATGTAGCTTGCACTGCTCCTTTTCTAGCTTTATTTGGTGTGACAAAGCTCACAAGATTCTTAATTCTATATTTTTTTATTACGCTCTAGAAGAGGTCTTGGAGCCCCTGATCTACTCAAGTATTATCATGTTACACACCTTCACCATGTTCTCTCCTGGTCAGCCCTGCATACTCCTAATTGCTGGAATGAACTTCAGTTGGAGTACATTTACCCAATTCATCCCTGTTCTTTGATTTGGTCTATGAGCTTATCGGGTTATTGTGTTCCTGCCCATCCTATTTTGACACCTATTCTTTTTACTCTACAAATATGGAGCACGTGTGCACTCACTGATTTCTCTATGCTCCTCATTGATAAATGTATTATATATTCCGGCGCTCCTGGATAGTTTGTTCAGGCATCATATGTACCCTTGGGCCAGGGCCAATGTCTTTCAGTTGAAACACTTGGTAAATCCAGTAACTAATAAGCTACGTTCTGTTCAAGAACTGCAATCTGCCAAAGGCTGGTATACCCAATTCCCTGTTGTATTCTTATTTGCAATTCAGATACTATTTCTACATCTTGGAGCCCACTTTAACTTTAGAGCACCCTACTACTTTTGAGCGCATTTGCCTCTTGGGCCCTTCTCAGTTGAAACTGTTCTCAATGATGCTTTACACCTATCTGAGAACTTCCACCTTTATATGACTAAATGGGAGTGTGATATTCAAAGCACCATTTCATTGCAAGATTGGCACATGATATGGGATACAGCAGCTCAGTTTTCAATGTGTGTTACATATAAGGAAAATATTTACAAACTTATGACATGCTGGTATAAAATTCCCAATATCTTAAAAGCCTATAACTCACATACAATATCTCTGATTAATGTTGGCATTGTAGTATAGAGAGATGGAACCAATTTCATACATTCTGGTTATGCTCTCTGATACAGGCCTACTGGACCTCAGTCTAACAACATTTGATTCAAATACTGGACATGTCCCTACCGTTGGACCCTTTCCACTATTTATTAGGTTTGCCATTTAACTGCTTCCCGACCGCCCTATAGCAGAAATACTGCTACAGAACGGCACAGGTGCACAAAATCATATATATATATATGTGATTTCGCATTTCCGGGTAGGGGGTGTGCGCGCGAGCGCCCTACCTGCATGGCCGTTCGCGGCTGTCAGTCACCGGGTCCCGGCCGGTAATTACCCACCAGAGCCCGGTGATTACCAAGCATCTCTGATGGGGAGGAAGACTATTTTGTTTACAAACAGTCTTCCTCCCTGTCAGCTCGGGCACACTGCTTGGGATGGCTGTGCACAGCACACTCATTCCGATCAGTGTGCTTACAGTGAAGCACGCCCCTGCCCCCCCTAGTAAAATACTCCCTACATATAGTTAACCCTTTGATCACCTCTCATGTTAATTTGTGATGGTTGGACAAATATTGAGAAGTGGGTATCCCTCTGCTCCCTCTTTTGTCATCTTCTGTCAGCACAGCTCAGAGTATATTTTGCTTTTAGATTAATTTGTGGAAAAACAAGAAAAAAAGAACCCCCCCCCCCCATAGTAAATTAATGTGCTTTTACTAAACAAAAATTTAAGTCATACAAATTAAAAAACAACACAAGACATGTCATGATCCACCCGGCGGTATCTCTAGCAACCCACAGAACAGGATTCCCCAGTGCGTGGGGTCTAAGCTCCAATCTGCTTATTCACCAGGGCCCCTGATGGTGGGGATGGACATGGAGCAGACTGAGACCAAGTCGTGACCCCTGAGTGCACCCGACTGTGGTAGAGGGAACCGCCAGAGGTATGTATTTGAAGAGAGCCTGATGTGAAGAGGCTGGCAGACCTGGGCAGTGGTGACCGGATCCATGCAGGATGGATGGATGACAGAGTACATGTAGCATAGTCAGGCAGGCCGGGTCGGTAACAGCAGAGGCAGAACAGTACAGAGCAGCGGACAGAGAATAGTCGGGTCACAAGCCAGGTTTCAGCAACAGGAGGTCAGGTAATCAGGAGTAAACAAAAGAGTCAGGCGAGCCAGGGATCAGAGCAGGAGATGGTCAACAGAGGTCAGGATCAA